TTTTTTTCCAGGAAAAGAGTGATATTCCTTATATTTACCTCACCAAATGGTGGTTTGGTTGTTTTCTTGATCGGGTACCGTTTTCATTAGCATTGAGGTAAGTGTATGTTTTTGAGGCTGGTTTTTTTGGATTTACCACTTTGATATTTTTAGACCAAATTCAGCTAAAAATATTGTTTTTTTTTTCTCATAGAGATTTTTTTCGTCGGTGCATATCTTGATGGATGTGATTTGATGGATTTAGCTAACTTTTGAAAAAAGGCTGTTTCGGTCAAATTTCCTTACTTCCAGGTTATGGGATGTTTACATACTTGAAGGAGATCCAATCTTGCTAGCTATGGCATTGAATATTATGAAAATGCATGAGAGTAGGTTTCATTATGGATAGATAATACCATTCCGTAAATCCCATATTTCCAGAAACCATAAGAAAGCTGCAAATGGAAACTTTTATGGATTTTATACAAAATACAATTGCCAACAATTTTGGTTACTCGGATGATGAGACCATGTACTCGTTACGAGAGGTTCTGAGCAGGTTGAAGGTAGCTTTTTATTTTTTCTCTTTTTTTCTCTTTTCTTTTTTTTTGTTAAATGTCTTTCTTATAGAGCGACGGGCTTCACTATCCACCACCACCAAAACCTGATGATCTCCCTGAAGTTCCTACGAAAGCGCTTGGCCCCATACTATCCAAGCCGATCTCTTCTATTCGAGAAGAACAAGAAGAGATCAAATCACGGAGAAGTCATGCAGCTTGTGAGTGGCAAGAATTTGATAGCGCATTTGATGAAGTGTACGAGTTTTACTATGAGTACTACATCAATGAAGGTATAGATAGTGATAGTGATGAAATAGGTGATATGGCTACGCTTAGCCTTCTTTGATCTACATTTGGAGGTTTTTTTATCACAATAAGATTGTGATAAAAACAGTTCAAAGGCTGATCCCTGACAAAGGCGGCTGTTCATCTTGCGAAGCGGCTGCGACGCGTATTCGAGCATCTTTCATCATTAGAGCATATAGCACGCGCACACCTTGTTTTCATGAGCAGCTGCCTTCTTCTGGGAGTGGCCTTCATATGCTGAATATATACAAGCTGTCCCAATCGTGGGGTCCCCGATCGATTAGCACATCGGGTTCGCGAGGGTCTCGCGCTGCGGATGCGTGGCGTTCGCCAGAGTGACACTGAGTTTGAGACAGATATTACTTACAAGGGAAGAACCCGAAGTCGAAATCATCTTTTTTCATGAACCATATATCAGTCGAAAGAGCATCAAACGCTGAT